GCAAAGATAAATGAGGAAGCACTTAAGTTACAGGAGGATAATCGTCAAAAACGAGAATATACATTGAATGCTGTCAGAGAAAGGGAAAATGAGGTCAATATGTTAACGCAGGAACGTCATGAACTATTGACAAAAGCTGAAAATCTAGTTGAGAAAATAGAACACATAAAAAATGAAAAGCGATCAATTATACATAATATTCGACGTAGTGATGATGAAATTCAGCGGCAAAATGAACTAATACAAGAGTTAAGAGATCAAAAGAGTGACAATCTCAAGGCCTTTGGTCCTTCAATACCTGATGTGCTTAATGCCATCAATAATGAGACTCGCTGGCGTAAGAAACCTGTTGGTCCTTTCGGAAGATATATTAAGCTAACAAAACCTGAATGGAGAAATACTTTGGAATCAGTGATTGGACATTCTTTGACAGCTTTTTCTGTTAGTAATCATCACGATCAACAACTACTATCAGGGATTTTAAAAAGATTTCACTGGTAAATAATTTACAAATTATTATTGGTTTTGCAAAAAAATTACGCATTATTATTAGATTTTAAAAAAATTTACATCGAATTTATTTTAACCTAATCTCCAAACAGCAACTCCCCAATTATTGTTGGCGAGGATGACCATTTTGATTACTCCTCTGGAGAACCCGACAGCCGTTTTTTGACCATTTTACGCGCGTTACACGTAATTTGTTATAACATTATAATATTCATTGGATTATTTTTTATTCAAAAATTCGTTAATATGAATTCTATTTAGTTCGATGATGAAAATGTTAAACGGCGACTTATAATTCAACATCATATTGAATCAGTTATTCTTGTTGAAAAGCGTGCTAATGCTGATAGTATTATGAACAATAATGGAAGAGGGTTCCCTCATAATGTCAGCGCATGCTACACCGTTGACGGGTTCAAGGTTGGGCATAGGTGAGTAGTTTAATAGGAATCATTGTTTTGAATTTTAATCACATATTTCTTCATTATTATAATTATTATTTTTATAATTACAGAGGTGGTGGCTATTTAACGCAA